TCCCTCTCTCTCCATCTCCTCCCTCTCTCTCTCTCCCTCTCCCTCTCCCTCTCCCTTTCCCTCTCCCTCTCCTCCTCTCCCCTCCCTTTGTGCGAGCGAGTCCGACCTCGCTTCCCTCTTCTTTCGCGTTTCCTGTTTTCCTCCTCCTCTTACCGGCCGCTCTTGACGGAACGGCTTTTTGAGATGTAAAGGATAGATGCCATGCACAAGGACGCGGGAGGGGGGGGGAGAGGGGAGAGGGGAAGGGGAAGGGACGTGGGAGAGGGGAAGGAGGAAAGGGGGAAGGGGGCCCCAGGTCTCGAGGAAGGCAAAGAAATTGGTTCAAGAACGCGATGGAGTCTGTGGTTTTTAGTAGCCTTTGTGTGGAGTGGAAATATTGTGTGTGCCGAGAAGGCGGGCGCTTTCCACTGTCTGTTTTCGGCACTCCGCCAGACAGTGCACGCGAACCTGAATACGCCCAAGTACAGCATAATGAACACTCGTAAGTCGTCGTTTGTTCATCCACTCGCTGATTCCGCGACTCGTTCGTTCACCCCCTCGCTCGTATTCGCTATTTTGAGCTTACAGTTGCACGCGTCTATTTACACATTTTCGTGAATCTTGCAGGAGTCGCCGGACAGAACCATAGATTTTTTTTCAGTGTAATGTTAAAGGATCTAGTTCTGTCTCCTCTAAATGTACTGCAATTCCGTTGATCAGCAACTCAAAGAATATGGAGAGAAAAAAAATAAAAGAAAATAAAAGTTGAACATAAATGAAAGCGAATCTTGTAGGTATTGACACGGCGTCCCTCGCGAGAGCCCGGCTCCGCTATGAAAGTGCTGCGTTTGACGTCAGTCGCTCCTACCCTTCACCTCAGTGTCTCTCCCTCGGTGGGTCGTTCTGATGATCTTTTTTAACACTAAAAGAGGGAAAACATGAAGAAGAGTAAGAAAAATGTCATGAAGGGAAGGGAGGAGGAGACAAAAGAGAAGCAACGGTGGGCGAGTTGGAAGCAAAAAATACGGGGAAGGAAGAGAGGAGAGGAAGCGGGGAAGTAGGCTGTCGGGAAAAGCTAAGGAGGACGGAGAACGTGGCGCATTTCGAAACCCAGACGTTTTCGGGAGCTATTTCCTTCGCCTAACTAGCTTCAGGGAATGATGACAGTGAGCAAGAGTGAGTCTTTCATCAGAATGGGCATCCACCGGCGGATGCTTGGTCGTAAGCGTCAGGTGAGAGAGAGAGAGAGACATCAGCGGATTTGTTTCGCCGTCAGTGGCGGCTTTGGAATGCTGACGAGTCTCATTACACATGGACATGAAAGGGGAGACGGCGGGAATGGACACTGACAGCGACACAACTCCCGTGGATAGAATATTGCTATATATAAGAATCAGGAATATTTAACGCTACACACACATAACCAGATCATGGCATAAGGGCGAAAAGGTGAACTATGTGAAGTACCGAAGGGGAGGTTACGGGCAAGGGGACAGGTGCGACCCCCGACGTGCCCCCGCGACCCTTATCTACCGCATTCCCACAGGTATGCGAGAACCACGGGGACCCGCGCTCCGTTGCCAGCTCGTTATAGAAAGGTTAATGTTTTAACGATCAGTAGTACGACCTCACGTAATGAAAAGCGACTGGTTTTTACGTGTTTCAGTCGCGGCGGAGAAGAGGAAGGAAATCGGATGATTAGAGAAAAGAGGAGGTTGGATAATGATAAAAAGGTAGCGATCGGATGCTAAGAGGAAGAAGAGATGGGATATTAAGACAGGGATATCGGAGTCCCATCCCTTTTCCCCCTCGCCGTCGCATCGAAATTCCGTGGCTCATTAACCGAGTCAGTTCTGCGGGAGAGAGACGCGGCGCTGATTGTCTGGGCCGCCGCAGCTGGGAAGCGTTTTACTCCTGTGATTCCTGCTCCCGAGACGCTCCTTCTAGACACATCCTAGACTATTTTGTTCTGCATTTTTTAAAGTCTTGTAGTTTTCCGCTATGCTGTGTTTAAGGGGTTTGATTGTTTTTTAAGATATATTTTCATTATTCTTCGTGAAAGGTTGTTGAAAGGACTAAGATGGATGAATACAGATATTCATGCTAATTTACTCACGATTGAATAACAATGTCGATTTGAGTTCAATGGATGTGTATATTTGTATCTCGAAAAGTTATGGTAAATCACGGTACCTTCAACGTCAGTTTCTGCAACGCGTGTAATATTCAACTAAACACTTTTATCTGTAGACAGGAGCGCCCATAATAACATGGAAATCGAGTGCGGGCGTGACGGAGGGTGTGGTCTGGTGCGCCCCGCGAAAGATATTTAGATTTGTAGTCGTGGATTTGCATATTAATGGACGTTATTCCCCCTTCATATATGTTACTAGCGACTTTGAATTATAATGGCCTAGAGAATGCAGTTATTAAAATCGGGATCCGTCCGGCATAATCTACGGCGGATTTTACAGTCCAGCGCCGCCCGTTTAGGCAAGCTGGTGTGAGGAATGTGTGGAGGAGGCGCGGCGGGACGGCGAGAGTGTTAATATTGTCTCGTAATGGTCGTCCATGCGAGACCAGCGGCGTCATGGCGAAAGAGACTTCTTCCTCCACCTCGAGTAACAAGGACAAAGCTGAACACGGAAGGACGGTCGTCAAAATATATTTCCCTGTAGTTAAGGTGTGGGTATCGGCTAGCTTCCCTTGGAGAGATAGTAAGTAGATGTAAGACAGTATGTATGTATGTATGTATGTAAGACAGTAAGGATGTATGTATCGGGGAAACTGAACGGCTCTGATCAAGAGTGAATATAAAGTGCAAAGTTACAGGCAGACGACCATGCTGAGTTCTGCATACCAAGGAGTGAGGCTCCGCTGGTGTGCTTGTGCTGCTGATGCTGACGCTCATGCTGAGTCTTGAGATGACGTGGAGATAGTCAGTCACGCAGTCAGTCTGTTGCTTGGTTAGTTGAGTATGCTTAGTCAGTAAGTCAATATTTCAGTAGGAAGAGAGTAGTAAGACAGCGGTCGGTAAATCAATCAGTCAGTCGATCGGTTATTATCTGACGTGATAGGCCAATCAGTTTGCTTAACTAGCCAGTCGGTCAGTTGCCAAGTGAGTTGAGAGAGAACAGTCAGCCAGTTAACTATCCTGTATAATTTTCGATGTAATATTTTGCGACTAGCGATAAAATGGGCGTCAAGAGTCTGCCTGACAAAAAAAAGCTGGATTATTTTTTTAGATAAACTTTGCTCTCGTAAATGACGTTAGGATACGCCGACAAGAGAGCGGAGCATGTTAATAAGGGAGAAAATCTTGCCGGTAATGAAGAGAGACGCGCACGCTCTGATGGAGGAAACACGAAGAAGGGAGGAGAAGAGAGAAGAGAACAGGAATAGTGGATCGGAAATGGGCGTCTTGGTGTGTCCTCCGCTGCTCCTTACTTCATGCATCTCCTCCTCCTCCTCCTCCCTTTTCTTCATCTTCTTTTTTCTTCTTCTTCTTTTATTTCATTCTTCTTCTCCTTTATCTTTTCTTCTTTTCTCTTTCTTCATTTATTATTTTTTTCTTTTCCATTCTTCTTCTTCCTCCTCCTCCTCCTCCTCCTCCTCTCCTCTCCTCTCCTCCTCCTCCTCCTCTCCCTCTCCTCTCCTCTCCCTCTCCCTCTCCCTCTCCCTCTCCCTCTCCCTCTCCCTCTCCCTCTCCCTCCTCCTCTCCCTCCTCCTCCTCCTCCTCTCCTCCTCCTCTTCCTCCTCCTCCTCCTCCTCCTCCTCCTCCTCCTCCGCCTCCTCCTCTTCTTCTAGTTTCTTTGTTTTCGTGTTTTTTCTTCTTTTTTTGACTTTCGATAGATTGAAGAAATTGCTGACCTAACGTCTTTCTAGTAACATTGACCCAAATTTGATCCCCAATGAAATTTGATAATTCCCTTTCGTATAAGTCTTAGCAATGAATTTTTATTCATCATTTCCTCGTCATTTGATTGCATTGAAATCAACTTTTACATTCAAGGGTTTTGCCTGAATTGGCTTTTTTATTTTTATGGTGTTCATTTAAACGCAAAAGAAGAGTGACCGTAATATTTTGTTCGGCCATTTACGTGTACGCGTGGTTGCGCGGATGTACGTGTGTGTGTGTGTGTGTGTACGGATGGGAGGCTTTGATCCACTTCAAAGGACGCTGTAAATAAACCTCTCTCTCTCACCTTCTCTCCCTTCACTCAAAAATGACTTAAAAGACAGATTCCTTAGGATAGTATACTAAAACGAAATGTATTTTAAGGACAACGCTTAAAGCCGTTCGTCTTGATTGTAAGGTAAAAGCCAGATCAGTTCGCGTGTTCCTTTTGCTGGACTCGAGAGACCACCTTCTTGCCTCGGGCACTCGTATGTTATCTTCGATGTGCCGCTCGTACCTGGCCCTGTGCCAGGGCGAGAAGATATGCAAGAACGAATAATAACAACTACCAGAGCGAAAAACCTCAAAGGACTACCCCTGATATATGAATCTCGAGGCGTTACGAGGTGCGATTAGGTGGTAGCGGGTGGAAGGGCACTTGTTTATTGTGTTTTAAGATTCGGTTTTATATTTCATGTAAGGCTTAGGGCTATCCTGTGATGGCGATTTGCATATATGTGTTAGGGATTCTTGGGATGTGCACTTGTTATTATTTCAGCATTTTCCGGTTACCAAATTGTTTTGTATTTCCCTCCCCTTTTGGTGGAACTAAATTTGGTTGGTTATTTATATCACTTAATTTACCACTTGAAATCCCCTCTTTTCTCCCTTCCCCCTTCCTCCGTCGTATCATTCCTATCTCTCTCCGTCCCCCATCGTCATTCCTATCTCTGGCTCCCTCCTCCATATCAAAGGGGAAGCGGGTAAGGGAGAGGAGAGAGAGGGGAAAGAGAGGGGGATGGGTGGGCGTAGTGCGGAGGAAGGGAGGGGCTGTATTCTCGCTCACAACAATTTAATATATAATGAGAAAGTGAAGGCTTATCAGCTCCTTGTTGTACCGCAGCTCGACGCTATCCTGGGCGAGTTCGGAGCCTCGGGCGACGGGGACCTGCACGACAACCAGCTGCTTGATAGGACCGACGGCGGGGACGAAGAAGACGACGAGGAGAGGGGAGAAGAAGAGGACAGAGACGATGAAGAGGACCTGGACGATCACATGTACAGAGGACATAGGGTGAGTAAGCCGTCCGTTGCCTGGGTAAGTCCCGGAATTCTTGGGATCGTCGGACGCGGAGGTTTTGTTTTCGTGTTATTGAGGAGGAGAAGGAGGAGGAGAAAGAGGAGGGGGGAGAAAAACAGAATTAAAGAGCAAGGACCTGGAAGAAGAAAACGAGGAAAACAGGGAAGAGAGCGAAGGCTGCGAAGACTGCTCGGTAAGTTCTGGTTTGAGTAATAAACGGTCTAAGGACGCGGGGACTTGGACTCGTGGCTGCTAATGGCCCCTGCTGTCGAAAGCTAATCGTAGTGGATCTCAATTATTTTTGGATAAAACGCCAAAGTGTCTGACTGTTATTTTCCAGAATATAAGTTGATTTCAACATTATCCTGCATCTTTATGTTCGTGGGATTCTCTTCTCGAGCATTTACGGTTAAGCTATGTAAACACGCGCAAATACAAGCATAAGTGCAAACGTGCAAATTCATGCAAATATGTGCATGCAAGTTTACGCAAATACACACATTGCACAGACGCGCATCCATATCTTTCCGCGCATTTCCGCGATGATGTCCGCACAGCCGTTTATCGCATCTCGTTTCGAATCAGTTTTTTTTCTTCTTTCTTTCTCTTTTTTGCACGAGGCGGAACCCTTGGCGCCGAGGGGAGAGGCAGAGGGGAAAGACGTCGCTAAGGGGATGCGATGTGTGCGCTCGGGAGGAATCTTTAATCCCCACCCGTGGATACATTAAGCCGGGCGCCCATTGCACTTACTTAGCAGGAGGCTGAACTCACGCTTTATGTGCTCGTCGTGGATATTTTTTTTCATATTTTGCTTTAACTTTTGAGTTACTATTTTTTTTTATTTCTTTATTTTTATGTATTGGTTGTGTTTGGTCTTTGTCTGGTTTATCTTCTGTTTTGTTTTCTTTTCCGTGCTCTCTCTCTCTCTCTCTCTCTCTCTCTCTCTCTCTCTCTCTCTCTCTCTCTCTCTCTCTCTCTCTCTCTATATATATATATATATATATATATATATATATATATATATATATATATATATTTCTCTTTTTTTCTCTCTCTCCGTCTCTGTCTCTCTGTCTGTCTGACTCTTTGTCTGTCTGTCTGTCTGTCTGTCACTCTGTCTCTTTGTCTCTTTGTCTCTTTGTCTCTTTGTCTCTTTGTCTCTTTGTCTCTTTGTCTCTTTGTCTCTTTGTCTCTTTCTCTCTCTCTCTCTCTCTCTCTCTCTCTCTCTCTCTCTCTCTCTCTCTCTCTCTCTCTCTCTCTCTCTCTCTCTCTCTCTCTCTCTCTCTCTCTCTCTCACTTTCTTTTTTACTTTTTCACACACACACACACCACACACACACACACACACACACACACACACACACACACACACACACACACACACACACACACACACACACACACATCAGGAGGTTATATGCATAGGTTCGTTCTTGCATACATATCATACATACATACATACATACATACATACATACATGCATACATACATACATACATACATACATACATACATACATACATACATACATACATACATACATACATACATATATACATACATTTATACATACATACATACGTACGTACATACATACATACATACATACATACATACATACATACATACATACATACATACATACATACATACATACATACATACATTCACACATACATTCACACATACATTCACACATACATACACACATACATACATACATACATACACACATACATACACACACACACACACACACACACACACACACACACACACACACACACACACACACACACACACACACACACACACACACACACACACACACACACACACACACACACACACAATTACATATTCACATACACACACATATTTCTTCCATCATCTCTCTCTCTTCGTTCCATATATATATATATATTTCCTTCTTCAGCCGCTATAAGCGTGACCCAATAGACTTTGAGAATTTAGCATTACGAAGACCTACTGACCTCAGCAAAATCAAATCACATCACCGTCTGAAATGGTATTGGATTTGATTCCCGTAGTCTTTTATCCGTGATGCGTCCGAATACAGACCTTTCTTGTCATATTTCTTACTCGAATGCTTTTATGACGTGAACAGCCGTTCTTCTTTCTTTTTCTTTTCTTGTTCTTATGTGTAGAACAAGTCTTTTTTATTATTGACTAATGGATCTGGAATGGTTTTACCGTTCGAAAAAAATAATATAGTTAGCCTGCAATTTGGAACGTTTTCTTTGAGAATGGAGTGGGTATTATAGAAAACGGTAGTGTTACGGGTAAGTGTAGAATATTCCTACATTTACTTTATATTTTGTATTTCGATTTTAGTTTTTGTATAGAGATTACTTACGTGTAGGCATCTTCCGATAATATATTTTGTTATTTAAAAAAATGACGACCTCGGTCTCACCTTTTGTTCTCACTTCGTTCTTTTTTCATGACTTCTTTGTCCTTCTCTTTTCTTTATTTCCCACTTCGGTAATTCCTTTCATCGTGTAAGTCACCCTCGTTCTTACTTTTACCCGTCGCTTTTTTGTTCTGCGCGTTTGTCTGTTTGTTTTGTTTTCGTTTTTGTACACATGCATTGATGTGCATATATTGCATACACATATACATACTTATATACATACATGCATACATTCATTCATTCGTTCATTCATTCATTCATTCATTCATTCATTCATTCATTCATTCATTCATTCATTCATTCATTCATTCATTCATTCATTCATTCATTCATTCACTCATTCAGTGAGCCAGTCAGTCTTGCATACATACATACACACACATTTACTCACTTGCACACCCTTACATATATACATAGTTACATACGATCAATCGTAAGCACACACCCACACACCCACACACCCACACACACACACACACACACACACACACACACACACACACACACACACACACACACACACACACACACACACACACACACACACACACACACACACACACATATATATATATACATACATACACGCACACACACACACACATACACATATGCGTGTGAGAGAGAGAGGCTAAGAGACCAAAAGGGTCAAGTTCCGCTATGATACAAGTGACCCGAACGACCCTCCCCCCTCACACGCCCCTCTCCCCCCACACGCCCCTCCCCCCCACACGCCCCCCCCCCCACACGCCCCTCCCCTTTGCCCTCACTCGTCCCCCTAGAGCGCACTCACCCCAGGTCGTTCGGCCTCGAAGTGCGCCAACTACGCTGCCTAATCCCCGGAGTTCCGTTTAGCGCTCCCTTCATAAACCATCTTGTCCCCTCTCTCCTCATTCTTCCCCGCCCCCTCCCATTTCCCCCCCTCCCCCCTTCCCAGCTTCCCATTAAAGCCTTCTCTGAATCAAGTTGGCGTTTTGATTAATGAGGGGAGGGACATCCTTGGGAATGTGGTTGGTGAGTGAGGGGCGGGGCGAGGGGAAGGGGGAGAAGGGGAAAAGGAGGGGAAGGGATGGGAGGGGAGGGAAGTGGAGGAGAGGGAAGGGAAGGGGAAGGGGAGGGGAGGGGAGGAGAGGAGAAGGGAGGGAAGGAGAGGGGAGGGGAGGTCAGTGGAGGGCAGCGGAGGGGGGGGTAAGGGAATGGAGGAGAGGAGAGGGGAAGGGAAGGGAGAGGGGGGGAAGGGAAGGGAGAGGAGGGGAAGGGAAGGGAGAGGAGGGGAAGGGAAGGGAGAGGAGGGGAAGGGAAGGGAGAGGAGGGGAAGAGAAGGGAAGGGAAGGGAGAAGAGGAGAGGATAGAGGAGGATAGAAGAGGAAAGAGGAGAATAGAAGAGGAAAGAGGAGGATAAAAGAGGATAGGGGGGGAGAGGGAAGGATAGAGGAGGAAAGAGAAGGAGCGGGAAGGATAGAGGACTAAACAAGAGGGTAGAGGAGGAGAGAAGAGCGCAGAGGACGAAGAAGAGGATAGAGGAGGAGAGGGAAGGCCAGGGAAGGGAAGGGATTAGGATAATGAGGAGGGGAGGATAGGGAGAGATGAGGAGGATACGAAAGGATGGGGAGGATGTGAAGGGACAAGGAATATGGGAAAGGAAAGGGAAGGAGTGGAAGGGAAGGGAAGGAGAGGAAGGGAAGGGACGGAGAGGAAGGGAAGGGAAGGAGAGGAAGGGAAGGGAAGGAGAGGAAGGGAAGGGAAGGAGAGGAAGGGAAGGGAAGGAGAGGAGAGGAAGGGAAGGGAAGGAGAGGAAGGGAAGGGAAGGAGAGGAAGGGAAGGGATTTGGATGGGATAGGATGGCATGGGGAGGTGACGGGAGGTAAAGCTTCCGTCGGAGGCGCAGACGATTTGGTAAAGATGTTGGGGAGGTAGAGAGGGTGGATGTCTGTTTCTTTATCTGTCTGTCTGTTTCTTTGTCTGTCTCTTTCCTGTCGGTTAGTTTCTGTTTAACTGTTTTCCATTCTCTGTCCGTCTGTCTGTCTTTGTCTGTCTCTATCTGTCTCTGTCTGTCTGTCTGTCTTTCGGCCTGTCTCTCAGTCTCTCTCTCAGTCTCTCTCTCAGTCTCTCTCTCTCTCTCTCTCTCTCTCTCTCTCTCTCTCTCTCTCTCTCTCTCTCTCTCTCTCTCTCTCTCTCTCTCTCTCTCTCTCTCTCTCTCTCTCTCTCTATTTTTGTTATATTCTGAAGTAAATATATTAAATAACAACATCGCACATATGACTAAGATGAAGTGAAGACGAAATATGTAGATATGAATAGTGTAGAAAAATATGTGCACGTGAACTGATTTTAGTAGATGTATTATATAATTATGTTTAACTGTTTAATTTAGAAATGTAGATTTTGAGTTTGATTGAAATATCTTGATATATTTTGAAACAATGTTTTAATTGTTTTATTTTCTAAAGATGCAATGAGCCCACAAAACAGCTATCAAATTAATCACCTCCCATATCCACTTAAATCCCCTTGTATATCAATCTAGTCCATTTTTTCCCCTTTGGGCCTTAACCATCTTCGTTATTGTAGTCGGTCATCCAGCTTCCTCAAACGCATTCTTTGTCCCCCAGCACTCTGGTTCCATCCTCTCGTCGACGGGGTCTGAGGTCCCCCCGCTCCCCCTCTCGTCCCCCCCACACACTCCAGCCTTCCCCACCGACGAGGAGGAGGAGATCACGGAGTACGACAATGAG